AGTGGAATAATTTTCCTAAATTATGGAAAGTCAATAGAGAACTTAGCGGATCCATTAACCAAACCTCTAAATAAAAATTTAGTAAATTCTACTTCACGTAGGATATGGTTGAAACTCTTAAACTAGAAGGTCCACCAATGATGACAACCCTACCTGCTATTACTCAAAAGGTAATCCACGGGTTCAAAGGGTAACAACAAGTCATTCGATATGTGAATAGTTTCAGCATTATTAATATCCGCGATAACCTTATCCTAGTTATAATAATGCTAGTTGTTACTGAAGTGAGGGATGCGTTTTAAACTCTTAATGAAGTACAGTACTAAGTACAAGTATTTTTAAAAAGTAACAAAGATACTGAAAAAATTTCACCTAGATAAACTTTGAGGTAGTGTCACCTCAATAAAGAATTAGAGTTTCTTTAAAATTTGTTGAAAATGATGAGCGCAAGGCCATAATAGTGCTAAGTGAGATTGAGAAACTTGAGTACACGTGATACTTGTGTGTGTTTTTACCGGTATTGTCATTTGGAATTATTGGTTCAAAGCTTCCATGCTACCTTTAATTTCGACTTCACCTTATTTGAATTACACTATGGTTAGATTCAAATAGAAAGATATCCAATCCTTATGCATGAGTATTGTATATCTTGAATATGTGTTTTTATAAATTTTGAACAAGTGGGGGATTGTTAGAAATATCTTTCAAAATTGATAGAAAATGGATGTGTAATGAAAATCATTCTTGGAGGCCAAATTTTGGCATATGCGGGATGTGGTCACATAGGCCAAGGTAAGGATTAAAATCCCTGCCATGAAGATAACTATGCGTCGCATAGTGTTGAATTATGCAACCTCATAGAAGGCCAATATAGTCGTGGTTTGTGATCAATAAAAACGTTATTGAAAGCATACAAAAACCATAGCCATATTCAAGAACAAAAACATCATTCCAAAACAAAAAGAATTCACAATTTCTTCATCATATTCAAACCCTTTTTTAGTGTTCTTCAAGTTTTGGAGTTTACACTTTATGCTTCAGCGTTTAATCCTTACAAAGCTTATTTAATCCTTCAAACTATTTGCTGGAAAACCTTCAATCATCATTTTCAATCCATGAGGGAACAAATATAATTTGAAGACAGTGATCACGCATTCGAGTCTTCAAGTTTGATCATGGCTTGTTCATGTTTTGTTCATCTTGTTGCTGATTTTCTAGTTCGTTTCTTCTCCAACTCCGGTGCATCTCCAACATCATTAAACTAACAAAAAGAACCAGTACAAATTGAATGATATGCATCTTAAAATAGACATTAAACTATGTCATGAACCTGTAAAACTAGTGGGAGATGCCAACTCCATTGGTTGACATCCCCCAAGAAAACATGCAGAAAAATTTTAGGAAACAAATGGTAAACAGGCAAGTGCTAATTGCCTTGGCTATAGAATGAAATAATATCAGGGCATACATTTATCACCTAATCCACCTTCTTCTCAGCTTCCTTCTTGTACTCCTCCAACTCTGTCATCCACAGATCCCCAAACTCACANNTCATCCACAGATCCCCAAACTCACAATCCTTCCATTGCTCGAACCATGGCCCCCCTAGCGTATAATGTATGGCCTTGGGGAATGTGCTCGTGTTGCCTTCAACAACCCTGTTATGTCCAACAAGGAAGTTCCACACAAATGGGATTTCTCCAATATCATCGTCATCTAACCACTGAAACCTATGAAGAAATGCGCCAGTCTCCTTGTTCACCACTTCCGGGGTTAGCACTCGATTCTTTGGGTGCCCACAATTGTACAACACCATTGAAGACCAATTCTTCCTCGGGTACACAGTTTGAACTGCCCCATCCATTTTCGTTGTTTCTTTAGGTGTGTAATCGTGTTGAACACACATTATTGCGTATTTTTCATCAATCAGATCAACTAATTCTTTAATATCATGTAAATACAAGAAATCACAGTCCACAAACATGGCCCATCCCTCATAATTTGCCAGATATGGAGTCAAAAACCGCGAGAATGAGAATTCAGTGCTCTCTAACTTCCCTCTTTCGCGCCAGTAAACACCCTTTTCGCGCATTTCACATTGCTTAATGGGAAATATCTCCACAGGGATTGAGGACATCTTCAGTAGAGAGTAGCGGCAGACCTCATAAGCAAGATCCTCCCGCGGATCGTACCCTATGAAAATCTTGAATTTCTTTGAATTCGGGTCGAACCCATTTCGGCAATTTCCATTGCTATTGTTCGTATTATCATAAATTGAATGAGACACTCTTATCTCAGCACCATACGGATGCAAATCTGCGCTCCCAGACATGATATTCGGTCAAGAAATACACCCTGCGGAAAAAATACAAGAAACCCACAAAACTAATTCAAGAAAAGAGAAAAAATCATGCAACTGAATACTGCCATTTCCATAAATATAAAGTATAATTACTGATTAGATCTGGATGATTTATAAAGTGAAGATGGAAGTAGAAAGAAACTTACTCGATGTGTTAAGAGAGAGAATCTTCAGATTTTTTTCAGATCACGAAAGAAGACAATGAGTCAAATCGATTGTGTTGTTTCCTTGTTTTGTTTGTGATTTATATGGCAAGCTTCGGATCACAGATTTATGCGCGTAAAAATTTCTGTACAGCCTGTTTTCACTGTACAGCTGTCGGTGGAAATGGAATGGGTTGCGGGGATTTAGCGCTGACGGGTAATTTGGGAGCTTCTGAATGGCCGTTGATTTGGGTGACTGTATTTACTATGGGCTATAAGCTTTCTTTTTCAAGCTTGGAACTTGAATTAAATTCATCAAATTATACAAAAATAATTATCAATGTTTTGAAAATCAATTCTTATTATCTGAAAATTTAATGGGTTAAGGTTCAAAATTTCGAATTGGGTTCCGACGGCTAATAATAAATAAAATAATTAATACATAAATATATCGAAAAATTTAAGAAAAATATTTTATTTTTTCAAAATGAGATATATAGAGATAAAATTCGCTTAACAACTTGATTTCAACTAATGTTTATTAGGTTTACTTCAAATATCAATAGAAATGAGACAACAAATATAGACAAAAGTATTAATAATTGAGTCGTTTAAATATTTTTATAGCATTTTAGTTTGTTATTATAACAAATAAATGAGAAAATAGGGAAAATTAGAATAAGAAAGTAATCAATTAAAAAAAAAAAAAAAAGGCATATCCCACCTTGTCAAACCAATACATTAATTACTGTAATACACCATCAATTGTTGTAAGGGGCTATTTTGCCTCTGTTTGGACGGCATTATTCCAAGAAGGTAATGAGAAATTGTACCATTAGAGCGTGCAATTCAAGGGAAGTGTGAGGTGAAAGTAAAAAAAAAAAAAAGTAGGTGGGGCCCTTCAATGGTACATTTTTTTCTAAAAATGTGGAACAAATGGAATCGAACTTTTGATTTTCAAAAATCATTCTGCCAATCTCACATCAATTTCCTTGAACTAAAATGTTAAAGAAATAATAAATTATAAAAAGGGACGATTATAGGTACACCCTTCGTGCCTTAATGCATGGGATTAATTAAGAAGTTTGTTTTCTAATTTTGATAGAAAAAGACCGATGTTAAAACCGATAAATTCGGCTGTGGGTTGACTGATTTTAAGGTTAGATCGGCTAGTTGGCCGATTTTTAAATATATGCATCGATCAAATTGATACTTTATCGGTTTATGGTTTTTTGATCGGATTGATTTATTCAATCCAATTTTGAGAACATTGATAATACACTAGCAGTAATTAAATTTTTTTGGCACTTCAATAGATCATGGATCAATTTTATTTGCCATCATGTGGATAGCTCAACTTCGATTTAAATTTTGAGTAATGCTATTCATCTCCACTGGGGATGAAAATACAGTCTACGTGGCGTTAATATGGCATTAAATGATAGGTGAAATTAAATAAGTCATTTAATTTCACATTTCATCTAACTTATCATTTAAAATCACATA